CGAAGGCGTGTGCGCTTTGGCCATAACGCTGGTAGTCAGCCACAGCCCCGTCGTGGCTCTCTGCGATCATTAGTCAAGCGAAATGCCAGTATTCCTGATATGCTGGATGCATAGGTACTCCATGCACCGCCCTAGGCTAATCATCGTTCTGAACTGTAAATACCCTAAGATGACTCCGATCTCACTTAGCTGGACAGGACAGAAGACCAACGCAAAAAGGATTACTGGCTATCCGCATCAGGTAAACCATGGGGCGTGGCTCAACTAGGCGGGTTTTAAGCACCAATGCATGATCCAATTCGCATACTATCTCCGATACGTCCAGCATAAGAAGTATTCTTGTAGACAGTAGACAGGGGCGGGGGCTATACCATCATACGAACGGGCGTATACTTTAAGATTGTTCGCATATAACGACGTGACAGCCGCAATTCTATGATCGATCGCCTCTATCGTCTTCCCCGGCGTCTCCTTGCATGGAAGCTGTACTAGGTCCTGAGGAGCCTACGTTGGCGAAAATCCTCTGGCCGGCAGTACTGGGGCCTGGAGTGCTGGTAACGGGAATCCACGCGCCTGTGCTAGCTTGAGTCGCGGACGCCGTGGTAGCGCCTGTAATAACAGCAGCTAAAGGCAGCGGCTGTAGACGAGGTTGTTCGTAAGACGAACCGGGTTGTGGTGGAGGTGGTGGTGGCGGGGGGGCTGATAGATTGGCTCCGTTTGTAGAGTTATCGTTTCCGCCGAAGCTACCAGGATCAAGAGCAATCTCGCTACCATCGCCCATATCATCATCCTCAACTCCGTCGATATCATCAAACCCGTCCATGTCAGGAGCTGGTATGGGAATAAGCCCTTGCACCTGACCTTGAGCTGCGTCTTGATTTATCTGGACTGCTCTTCGCGATGGAAATATAGTCTGCTGTTGCAAATGGTACTCGGCAAACTCGGGTTGAGTATTTAGGTAGGTTCGGAGACCCGTTACACCTTGACCAGAGAAGACACAGAATACTGCTCGCTGGTGTTCAGTAAAGTCTGTAGTGTCCGGTTAGTACATCGGGGTACGGACGGGATCTAGGGGAAAAAGCTAATCACCTGGAGGCGCATCTCGACAAAAAGTATCTAGATCATCCCGCAGGAAAGCAGGTACACCAGTCAAACTCAGGTGAGTAAGTTTCGGGCAGCAATTGAGGAGTTTGATAATGCTCTGCAGTTGTGTTAGCGACCTGTGTGATTGGCATTTTTGGAATGAGATAAGCCATACCGGAAGTGTTAGATTTGTGCAGTAGCTTAGGTGAACTCGTTCCAAACTACCAGTGTGTCGGGAAGCGTTGTTTCCCGACGCATTGCGTCGGGACTGACGGTTTGCTCCAGCTAATGCGTACATGCTTTCATCCGTGATGCTACTGCACTTCACCAATCCAATTCTCTTCAGTTTCGGGAGCCTTGCTAACTGTACAACTGACTCGTCTGTGAGGTGGGTGCAACAGCCAAGATCAATATAACGAATGCGGTTGCAGGATTGCACCAGACGCTTGACCGCATCATCCGTGATATGTCTACAGTGGCCAAGATGTACGTAGTGTAGGTTCTTGCCGAGACGAGATATGGCATAGACCGCGGAATCGGTAATATTGCTACACTTAGCTAGGACTAGATTTCGTAACCGCGGGGCAACCTCAATAATTTTTTCGACGGCGCGATCCGTAAGCCGGGTGCACGATGTCAGATCGAGGATACGAAGGTGCTCGTAGATCTTGGAGGGTAGGGATAGGAATGCGCCATCGTCGATAATATCGCAATTTGCAAGTCGCAACTCTCGCAGAGATCGTCCTTTAGCAAGTAAGGCGGTAACAGGCTCGTTGCCGATATTCACACACTGATGAAGATCGATTTCGAGTATGTTTGGGCAGTTATTGGCGAAGGCAATAATCGCACTGTCGTTGAGTTGTTCGCAATCGTTTAATTTAAGCTGTTTACCAGATAAATATCAGGATATGATTAGCAACATCTCAAATAGAGTAGGTAGTTTTGAAACCAATAAAGGCCATCTGAGAGGTGTACTAAGGCAAGTTGACTTACCCGTTTGATATACCTGCAGTTCTCCGCGAGTTGAACCATGCTTTCATTGGAGATCTGTTTGCAGTTTGACACGTTCAGACCCTGAAGTCTACGGCAGTTCTCGGCGATAGCCACGATAGAGCGCTCGGTGATGTTGTTATCGCCCGAAATATCCAAAGCGAGGAGGTTCTTGTTACTCCTCACCAAGGGCATCAGTCCCAAATCGGTCAGATCTTTGCAATTGGTCAAGGTGAGACGCTCGACGCGGGTGCAGACGGCAAGCGGCATAACACTACCATCACTAACTTTATCTGCCAGTGCAGCTAGATTAAGACGCTTAACAAATTCTGTATAAGTGAAGAAAGGCTTCTCGAGTCCTAGAGTCGCGCAGATGGACTGATGCTTAGACCACGAGGTGCAGGTCGGGCGATGCCAGAGTATCTCGACCACGTTGCGGGCCCATCTCTTACAAGTTAACATACAGTTCAAGAGTTCACCCGGGCTGTTGATGCGGGAAAATATGCTGATGAGAATTTCGCTGGGGAGTGCCGCCACGGTCGGGAGACATTCTGGATCGGTCACTTGCATGTCCTGCAAGTTTGGTACCACTCCTAAGGAAGATTGTGAATCATTTGCTACGTGGAAGAAGTCGGACTCTTCGTTATCTGGGGGGACGGGCGAGTTCGTCGACGACGAAGACCTCGAATCCCTCGTATCGTCTGACATGTTCGTTGTCTGCATGTTTTGGCCCGAAGCTTCATTGGGTGCGGCGGCGGCGGTTGCGGCGGTAGTAGTAGTAGTAGCAGTAGCAGCAGCTGCCGCCGTCGCAGCAGCAGCAGCAGCAGCAGCAGCAGAGTTACGGGCGGCTATGACATCGAGAGAAGGAGCCGGCGGTCGCATTTTGGCAAGTCTGTAGAAGGCTGCGTCGCGATTTATTCGGGCGGGAGGAGTTCGAAGTTAGTTAGGATCGGTAACGTCTCGAAGAGGTTGGCAAAATGGCCGATGGTGGTTATATCGAAGGATTCAACGGGGTGGTGGATCGAGGGGTAGTATTCAGACCATCAGGTTTTCGATGTTCGAACGGGAAAGTAAAAAAAGGGAACGAATAAACGGATATTAGAAACAAGCGGCGATCGCTTTCCTTCCTCCCTTAGAAATGATTCGATGCAAATCGCTAAAAGAAAAAAATCAAAGAAGTAAAGGAGGACCTGACGATAGTCGCGATGATGGACGTTGTTTAACAATTTGGATTTTGTTTTAGGTACCTGTCTTTAGTGGTATTGTTGGGAAGGAAGAATATGGAAATGCATCTCCAAAGTGACAAAGAATGGAAGTGTGATGTGTGTACCGCACTACTTCTACGTATGGCAGCAGGGCGGTTACGATCTTGGGCAGTTGTTACTATTTCGGTGTGTAATGCGATGATGGGCTACAGGCTTTTGTGAGTACATGGTACATGGTACTATGTACCTCCAATCATATACATCCTCTCCAATCTATTGTGGGCAGGTGACGACTCTGTCACAGCTGCCAGCCCATTTATTGTGGTATTGTACAAACATTTTGATCGGCTTGAGCCGGCGCAAACTGGCGCAGACTGAGAAATGCAAAATGTTATTGTACTCATATTGTACTCATGTTAGGTTATGTAGATTAATTTACAACAATATTTACAACAATGTTGGCATCGACAACACCTACATAGAAAAAGGCGGTTCTGTCTTTTAAAGTGTCACTAAGTTATGACGCTTCGTTCCACCAAAACTAACAAATTAAAACTGGACAAAACGCACTTCATGCAGTTCATAGAGGTAGATAATAATAGTTATAGGTGCCTAGGTACTTGGCCAATTAAATCGTTCAAGTCAATGGTGTATTATCACAAGTTACTCCATTAGCACCTACATAGGTTAGGTAGATATGCATATATCAATAAAAGCAAAACAAACTTATTTCAGTCCGGTACATAATTCCATAGCTTCAATCGCCATTCCTACGAATCCGAGAATACCTTAGATATTTTAACATACAGGTACTTCAAGCGATGCGGTGGTTAAAGTAAAACCTAGTTTATTTAAGTTCGCTCTTTTCATTTAACTACCTACATATCTACTATGTATCGGCATTAGTTCATCCCCGTCACCGTCCCGCGGCTCAAGATATTACTTACTAGATTAAAGCTGATTGACGTCACAGCAGATTCAAGGGTTCACTTGCCAGACTGACAATGTGTTGATTGATATGTTATCGAAGCCCACCCCCTCCTTATCGGAATATATTATATATTTTGGCGTTTGATTATCCAGGCCTCGGCATATAAGCCGACAAAGATCTACGTTTGAAACCTTATATCTAATAGGATGTCTGGGGGTGTAAGGACAGTACATACATATTGACGAGCTTTGGTTACCTAAGGTATCAAATCCAACAGCTAGGTACAATACAGTGAAGCTAACCGACCTAGTTCTGTTATTCAAGTGCGACCTCATCCACCACTATTTTATAAATAGCTGGCATTTCCTTTTCTTCTTTCCAAAAACACGTTTATGAAAGCCCAGACTTTCGAAGTTACGCTCGTAATACTACCTAATTATCCCATAGGTATCCCCCTGCTTATGTACATACTACATAGGTACCTAGGTAGGTACGCTGAAAACTACAGGTTAGTAGTCTCCCATAAAGGCAATTCTCCCTTCGTCTCCGCACAGTATCGCTATGACATTTCATACGGTATTTTATGACTAATTCGACTCGAGTTTTCAAGGGGCGGAGGCCGGACGGAGGAGCTTTTGTTATGTGAAGAGTTTCCGAAGCTCATTTATGCTACTTACCAAGTATTATTTATATAACCTACCTGCTTTTCCGTTAGAGATGTCTTTTATCATTTATATGTTACCTTGATCGTTTTGTTACAACGGTAGGATCCCGCCTTATAAAGTCATCAGGCTTTAGAAACTTATAAACATTTCGCGTTTCTTACAAGTTTCGATATATACTACCAATCTATTAATTATATACTACCTAGGAGCTAGCTTTTACGTATATATATTCTGATTATATATTCTCACTATTACACTTGTACCAAACACAGACATTACCTTAGGTACCTACTTATAAGCACCTGTAAACATCTTCATTAAACTACATCATGACAGGCACAATCATCATCACTGGAGCAAACGGCTCTGTTGCAATCCCTGCTGTGCGCCATCTTTTAAACAAGTACCCGGACTACACGGCAGTTTTAACTGTTCGCAAGACGGAGGATACGGATCCCAACACCAAGAAGCTGCGCGAGACCATTGCTAAGTTTCCCAAGGCCCAGACATCCATCCGCCAACTTGACCTAGCCAATCTCACTGCTGTACACGACTTTGCAAGCACAATTGCTACCGAGATTGCGGAAAAGAAGTTACCGCCGCTTGCTAGCATTGTCTGCAATGCGTATTACTGGAATTTGTCTGGCGATCCCGAGTTCACGACAGAAGGAGTCGAAAAGGCGATCCAAGTGAACCACATTTCCCACGTTGCTCTAGTTCTTCGACTACTAGGTAGCTTCAGACCTGAAGGCGGCCGTATTGTGCTCTTTACCAGCAACGCCCATTTCCCCGGAAAAAACGGCTTGGAGAAATACCCACCGGCTATCCCGGACGATTTGGATTCTTTATTGAAGCCTAAGCCGGATGCCGACAAGTTAGGACGAGGCATGAACATATACGGAAATTCAAAGTTGGCCATTCTCATGTGGGGATACGCGTTGAACAGGCATCTTGAGAAGGTATGTTTAGATTCACTTGCCCATTATTCCTTACCCCGTCAAGATATGAAAAGGAGACAATTAACCTATTTCCCAGGATGAGAAGCTACGCAACATCACAGCGATAATAATTGACCCTGGAAATCTGACTGATTCGCGCGCTTTACGCACGAACACACCTCTGTTCCTCGGCATTGTTCAAAGGTTTGTGCTCCAACCTTTGCGGCCGCTCTTTAGTCTCGCAAACCCAAGTTACCGTACTGCAGCTGCTGCGGGGACAGATGTGATAGAGCTTGCTACAAACAATACTTACCCGGGAGAGCGCGGCTATCTCTTTACGCTAAAGAAAGAACCCAGTTCCCCCGATAGTTATAACGAGGAGAAGCAGGAGAAGCTGTGGATTAAGAGCGCCGAGTGGGCAAAGGTCACCAAGGAGAACACCGCCATTGCGAGCGGTCTTTAAATAAGGCGCATCAGTAGGAGGCGGGATTTTGAGACATGTTTAAGCATGGCTTTTCAAGAGCGTAAAGAAATGAAGTTATTGTCGAATAGTATTTCAGATTCCCCAAATTGAGCATCATTTTATTCACAGGAAATTTCCAAGATTCTACATGTACAGTAAAGTAAAACTGAGAGGTACTCCTCTATTCAGTCTTGGTTCGATCTGCAAACCGCCTTTGAAAGATAGACATCTCCATCTTGTGGCATGCTGATTGCCAATCTGTAGTCCACTTACGATAGAACGGTTGGTATCCTAGAATGCCTCCTAACCATCTACCTAGTACAACACCCAAAGCATACGCCAACGTCTTGCTGAACGGTATCCAGCGTGGGAGTGAAAGGTAAGAACCACCCGCATCAAACATCTGTAGATATGTCAACTATAGTTATATCTAGAGAGCTTAAGGTCAAAGGGACAACCCACACTCATAACCTGAATCAAGTCGACCCTCTCGCCCTTGACAACAATTTGGTCTTGGTATGCATACCAATTCTCAAAGAAGACAGTATCAAGCTTGAATAGTTCAGGGGTACTCTGAGCCGAAAGTAAGAATCTCGTCACCTTTAACTTCTCGTCTGTGTCCTTGGTAACCGGCGAGTACAACCTGTGGTTTGTCCACGGACGAAGGACAACCTCACCATCATCGGGAACAAGAATGCGTTCCTTGCCTTCAACTTCTACGGCTAGACTTCCTTCGAGCACCTGGAGATATTCCTCCTGATGTGGGTGGAAGTGTAGCGGTGGCTTCTGCGACGCGACTGCCACGACCCGTGGATGCTGGAGAAGGAAGGTCACGTCGTAAGTGAAGGCTCGGTTAGGATGAGAAGGGTGAGTGATCACACGCGTAGTTATTCCGCCTTCGAAACTATATGGGCCAAATAACAGTCGTTGCTTTTAGTAAGGTCCTCACTACTATATTGCGTAAAGAACTCCCAAGCGAGTAGGTCAACTAGCCATTTTCGTAGAACAGGCAACTTACGCTGTAATTACACGTCCTAAATAAGGATCTCCAGCCATACTTCGCCGGACACGACTTTCGTGCTACTAGGCCCTTATTACAAGTAGATGATTTATATATAGCTGAAGCTGAAAATTATACGTTAGGTAGGTAGGTAATAATAGCTTTTTTAACACCTTGAAACTTCTGTAGGCTCGAATAAGATGCGAACGGAAGAGTGTCTTTCTTCTAGTTTTATCGTACGAGACCCAAGCTATTCTCCATAAAACCCACTACAAGGATTTATAGGTTCGTCAACATCGGCATTGCAACTCAAGCGTCCGAATTCCAAGTTAGCGTAGAAAATTTGGTCTAAATTGTGAAGGATCTTAACTGTGTTACATTTTTCATCTTTCTAGCTCTGCTAGACTAACGCCGTCTGGTCTTTCAGCTAGGTCTCCCTTGTCCTTGGCATCTAAACGGTAAAATCTATAGCCGTCTGACAGACGATCTACATACGCGTACAACAACAGCGTGATTTGCAAAGCTAAGGTAAAGTTGTGGCACAGCTGATTCACTTATAACCTCAGCCCGATAGGGGTATATTATCAACTTCATATAAAAATATTTCGTCTCAAAAGTTTGGTGCCTTGCTAACTATCCATAAGATCCTTAATATAGGTAATCTACTTTTTACTAGGGCTGGCATGCATAGTATATTTCCTCGTTCGGCTGGGGGTGCTTAGCGTTGAAGTCGTGGGGGCTGGCCTCCAGCGATTGGGCTACTAGTACTACGGCGCTCGGAACCGATTATGCATCATAACATTCGAGATACCCAGCATGCGCTTGGTTGAGTGCTTAGTTACATCTTACATCTGAAATACCCAAGATTTACCAAGAAGCTTAGGTCTATGTAGTATTGATATGCATACAGCACTATATTCGAGCTGGCTCTTCTATTACCAACCAACTCAGTTATCTCTTAGCCGTTTAGGGCAACTGGCAAGAAAATCTTACGACTCAGGTAACTTGAACCCCCCTGATGCTAGAGTTTGGAATACTCCCTCAGGATCGTATTTTATTGCCGTCTCCTTCAGCTTCGCAACGTTCTCCTGTCCATAGTGTTCAATAACAGGCTGGTCCGCAGCCGCGTCGTTCATGAAAATATAGTCAACGTAGTGCCCGCTAGCCTTAGATGCGTCTTCGATTTTGTTGATCATACTCTGCGTGTAATTGTGCGCCAGCTGGTCGTCCTCAGGAGACCACCAACCCACGTCAAGAACGAGCCAAGTCTGGTTAACGGGCTTTAGTCCAAGCGCGTTACCACCACTTACTTGTCCAGCGAGTACGGCGCTGCTGGAAATTGGCTGCCAGCCAAATGCTAGAGACCCTGCAGTTAGGTTCATCAGGCTGTCTAACTCTGGAGCCTTAGTTACAATATCTCCGACTTTGTTGAATAGTTCCTTGTCGGTGGTGAAGCTTGAACTAAACCAATTCACCCTATAGGAATATATTAGTATGCTGGGAGGTTAGAGTCGTGAATTATTGTATGGCTTACCGTGTCAAATCCGGAATAGGTGCTGCGAGCATTAGTTCAGTTAATGTTTGGAGCTTGGTCAAATCGGCCAGAGGCGTGATATTCCGGAAAGGCGCGAATGCTTCCGGCTCCTCTTCTGGCTTTAGGTATACGATATTTACTATGGCACCAATGGTTGCGTTTGTCGGGAAAGCTTGCAGCATAATATTCGCGTAAGGGTCCTTGTTTTCAACCGACTGATATTGGTACATGGCATCAAATAATGCCGGCAGAGCATCCAGCGAGTATACTTTAACGCCACCCCAAACATCGTGGATGTCGTAAGTCTTCAGTGTGAATTTAGTGACGATGCCTATTCATATGTAAGTCAACTAAGTCTCCAGAATAATAGAAGTATAAAATCTTACCGAAGTTGTTGATACCCCCCTTTAGAGCCCAGAATAAATCTGGATTCGATTCTGCGTTGGCATTTACGATGGCTCCAGTCGAAGTCACAACCTATATAAAGACCTAGTCAACACTGTTCCAATATTCCGAAACAAAGGCACGGCACTTCTTACCTCGTAATTAACCACGTTGTCGCATACTAAGCCGTATAGGTCGGTTAGGTACGAAAGGCCACCTATACTTCACCTGTCAATAACCTGCCTATGACAACGAAAGTGGAAGGGGGTAAAGCTTACCTCCAAGAGTTAGACCGCCGACGCCGACGTCCAAGACTCTACCACCAGCAACTGTTACGTTATACTGGTCTAGTGAGGTATAAACTTCTTTCCACCGCAATCCCGAACCCACGACAGCGACTTTCTTATCCGCATCGTAATCTACCGAGTTGAGGTTCGCTAAGTCAATCAGGACGCCATGGTTGATATTTGCGGCTCCTGGTACGACTGAGTGACCGCCAGAGCGAACAGCAAATTTCACATTCCAGTCGACCACAGTCGAGACGACGTAGGAGAGCTCCTCGGCATTAGATGGCTGGATAATGCATGATGGCTTCGCCCAGACAGTTTGCGACCTATCATAAGGTGAGTCAAATTAGCCTTCTCGACTCAGAGAAGGTTAAACCATACCAGTTCTCTGTGCTTAAAGCCTCATATGTGCCTTCAGTCGGCTGGACTGTCTCGTTGTTTAGTTGGGTTTTGATGTGGTCGCACACTGCATAGTCTTGCGAGCCTTCCACTACGGAGCAGAAAAGAAGTAGGAAGCTAACAAGAGCCTGGGATACGGTAGGACGGACCATGATCTTTTTCTTGCCCGGAACTAAGAAGTTGAGGTCGCTCTCTCTCGCTATTCATGCCGGCTCGGCGTCCATGGAATAGTTTAAATACCTAGTTATACCAGTATAAGAAGTAGCCCACTGCGAATTTAACCCCCCGGAAGACCCCAGTACTACTTATTGAAGCATATGAAGATCATGGGACCTTGTCCAGCCCTAAGTTTAGTGCTAGATGATCCGAACATGCTATCGTGGCCCGAAAAGGGTCAAGTGTCCTGGGTATATACCGTATCTCTGATCGCAAACTACATAGTACAGTAGCTTTATTCAGCACAAGGCAATTTAAATTAATAGGGCCCTCCGTCACTGATGACTGTATTAAATTTCTATTGATAGCGTTGACATGGATATGGATTACGAAACAGACGATACGCCCTCACGGAAATCCTTGGAAACCCTGCTTATGGCATCTTCCGTTCTCCAGCCTCCGCCCCCAATTTGACTTCACCCCTGGAGATCAAATTCCCAGTTCACTAGGCTACTGCCTTAGCGTAGCCGACGACATAGTGTATGAGTGTAGACAGTGCATGACTGGGTTGTGGCACTGTTACAGGAGATGCTCTAGGACTAGTGGAGACGTGATAACTAGGAGCTATTCCAAAAATTACACCGGTGAGTTCGGGATACCTACCTATCCTTAGTTAGTACCTAAGATTAAGATATTGCTTGACATTGCTTGACATAGTAGTATCTCATAAATATCTCTGGTAACTATATGTACGTAACCTGACCGCAACTTGTGGTCACATATGTGAATTAGTCAAGACCGGAATTCTTTTACTAGTTACATAAAACTAGGGTGAGTTCTAATATGGTCCGGGGATTAGAAATAGATAGTAGGTAAATCTGTAATGGGCATCTCCTTGGGTCTGCCTTTAAATACTGGAGACTATGTGGATGAGCAGGGATTGGGGGCTCTTAGTTCCCGTTCAGAACGGTAGTAGGACCGACTGATTTAACACGGGCTTGAGAGATTGTTTACGTGTACCAATGCATCAAAAAATCTACTAACTTATTAGTCTATCATGTCCTTCCCTAAGAGGTTCCCCGTGCTCTGTAGTGGACATGAAGAATCAAACCTTTTTTTCCTTGGTAGTGATTGGTCACCACCCTATTGGTATCGTTCAGCCCTATAAGGAATGCTTAAACTTTCGTGCCTCCCAGTGGCGTAGACGCGGATGACGGGAGCCTCCTTGTGTGGGGTGGAAGATAGCTGTCGCCCATGGGATAGAAGTCCCTGCCACCCTTGACGTGGTTAACTATTGTAACTAGCGTCCCCTATTACTAGGAATATAAGTGATTTAGCTAGCTCTTCGAATCAGTCCCGAGAAAAATAGTAGAAAAAAAAAAAAAGAAAAGAAAGAAATCGGTTCCTTCTTCATAACTATCACGCCTTTTCAAACCCTTCCGTTGGCTCCCCTCCACCATGAGCGGTAAGACAAGTAATGACAAACCGCAGTCGGCTAACGAGACGGCCGACTTCCAAAATAATGCCCTTGCACAGCAGTATGGTGGTGGACATGTCGGCGGCTGGGTTGGCCGTTTGCCCTCATCGTGGGTTCCTTACGTCCAGCTCGCACGACTGAGTCCTCCTGCAGCCCTCTTCCTTATATATTTCCCACACTTCTTCGGCATTATACTTGCCGCCATCATTCGGGGATCTCCCATCTCCCAGGTGCTCCGAGCGAGCTCAATCATGCTTGGCGGTAGCTTCTTTTTCTCAAACGCGGCTCATGGCTGGAACGACCTCATCGATGCGCCCGTCGACAAGTCAATACCTCGGACGAGCAAGCGTCCTATCCCCCGAGGTGCTATCACACCTCGCTCCGCTTTCGTTTTTACTGCGATACAGGCTATCGGCGCTGCCTCATTTCTACTCCTAATGCCTCCCGGAAGCGCGATATACGCCATCCCGAATATTATTGGTACGTTCTACTACCCTTGGGCCAAACGGCACACCAACTTTGCGCAATTGGTACTCGGATTTTGTTTGGCCTGGGGTATCATGATGGGGTCATGCGCAATGGGTGCCGAGCCATTTATGGGGGGACCCTTTGGGAGCGGAAACGGATGGAAGCAGTTCTTCTGGATCGAACCGTCAACCACGTGCCTCTTCCTCGCAAGCATTCTGTGGACGGTTATTTATGATTCAATCTATGCGCATCAAGATGTCAAGGATGACATCAAGGTGGGTTTGAAGAGCATTGCTGTTCTGCTTGAGGATTGGACGAAACCGTTTCTATGGCTGCTCCTTAGCTGTATGATCGCACTATTATATACGTGCGGAAGTCTCCTGAAAATGGGCATCGCATTCCACATAATCGCCGGCGGTGGATCCTTGCTTTCTTTAGGTGCTATGATCGCTAACGTTGAGTTGAAGGATTCAGCAAGCTGTTGGTGGTGGTTTAGATATGGGTTCTGGCTGGCAGGCGGAGCTATCGCCGGAGGACTTCTCTCGGAATATATTGCGATGAGATTAGTGTTATGAATGTGTACCTCTTGCAGATTTCCATCTTCTAATATAAGACTAAGAGCTAAATTAATAATAATAATATATTTTACTTGACGATGCCCGTGAACTAATTAAATGTTGGCTCAAGGATGTCAAACATGACCTGAAGAAGGTTACGCTCACGGACTACGACGATTTGCGTTAACACTTATACCACGTATTCCAGTAACCTATCTAAGATTTCCCTTAGTAAGTATGATTCAAGTACTTACATTAGACAAGGCCAGCTCAAACCTACTTTCTTTCCAAGAGAATTATCATATATGAATATGGTGGTGATGATTTTTGCAATACATTTTGCAATACATCATGATCACGGATGAAGCATTTTCCCTTGCTTCGACGCAAGTCATTCACCGAGGTGACCGCGTTTGTTAATACGCCGAAGGCCGAAAACCGAAAAGCAAGGTTCCTTTCCACCAATCAGTAACTAGGAAAGCTCGGAGTTCATCACATCACATCTATAAACGATGGTTGTTTGGACTCCGATCTCTCTGCCTAAGCAATGAGGAGAGACGCTTCAAACTCATTCTATCGATAGCTGTCAAGGGGGGTGAATTTGATTCTCTACCTAGGTACTATATAGTAAAAGGCTTTTCTCAAGATATTATTACCTGGCCGCATCAACTCCGACATTAGTGGTCTCCGAATCCGAGGTATCTCGGAGTCTTAGTAGCCTCGATGAATCGTTCACACCAGCCGCTTGGTGGTCAAATTATAGATTTGCAGCCTATGAATTCACATCGTGCTTTAACAGGAAAATACCGACGCAATGGAAAATTACAGTATGCATTTGCCCCCTTTCCCCTCGTCTTCTCTCATTCACCCTTGTTCCACCTCATACTTACGCGAGCTTACATTCGGGGGATACCGCGGGATCAAGCTTCGATTCCCTAAAACGGTGGTACATACCTTAGGTAGGTAAGCTAGATGTCCTCTAGAATCTCCTCAAGCCATGTACCTCACGGCTTGGGAATCAAGGCTTGTTCCTGCTATACTCTTCACCTTATCTAGATCATGTGAACCGTGTAGACGATCTAAGTTAAAGTGTGATCACGTCGTCCCAACCTGCGGCAGATGTATCAAGAGACAGTGTGCCGATCAGTGCATCTACCACCCCAATCCTCTTACTCAGGTTGGTCATTCAGTATACTAATTATACCGCATCTGAAAGCATTGGCCAGTAAACATCTATGAATGTTCATAAATCAAGCTAATGATGCTTGGAAATAGGCTCGTCGAAGAGAAAAGACGACTCCCTCAACGCGATTCGCAGTAAGAAGCGATGACGGTCCCGCAATTCCTGCGCAGTCGGTCGAGGCACCAGCTGCGGAATCGCCTAATGTACTCCCATCTCAGATCACGCCGGCACGTTCCACTGAAGTAGCAACTCGCGAAGTACATCGAGCGGCATCCGCTCCGCCATTGCAAAGTCGGAATGGGTCTGCCAACCGTACCATAAGCATTGGTTTCCTTGGCGAGACATCCTATGTTTCTATCTTTACGGACGGCCTTGGTAACTTCGATGTTTCTTCTCCAGGCCTAGAATCTCCTCAAGTCCAAGAAATGAGCCTATCGCACGACCGGATAATTCAAGGATGTAAAGTCCTCTCATTCTTGAAAGACAAGCACATGATTAATCATCTTGTATCGCGCTGGTACGAAATATGCGAAGACGAGGCTTGTATATGTATAGAGCCCATAATGAAAGAGTGGTTATGGGGTCTCGGGATGCATCACGGAGATGTTGTACGTATAGAAAATGCAATTACCTACCTCGGGATCTGTGCAAGAAACTGATTCTACGAACACAGCTTAGAGATCAAAATCCCGAAAAGATTCGGCGATTATGTGAATTAATCTGGCGTAATACTCAAACTCCAATCATTTTTAACCAAAATACGACGGCTAAGCATGTAAGCAGGTGCCTAGTCAAAGTGATAATTTACTCGCTTTAAACTTATTCTCATTATGAATCCGAGATTCTGTCGCTAACTCTACGGATTGAAGTGGGCGCGCTCTGCTACTGGACCAAGCATACGATGGGAGGTCATCGGCCTCATCGCCGTAGTTGCCGGCCAGTCTGCGAACACGCCTGAGCCTTTTGGCCGCGGTTCCAAGAAACATAACTCGGCACATTCCTCATTTGCAAGACAGATGAACGAGATTGCCGAGGCCTGTTTAAACTTTTGCCGCGACTGCGGAGCTTTGGGCGACATGTTCACCTGGCTTCTCATGGAGAATTACTCTCTAACGGCTAAGATTAAGGGCGAAGCTAGTCACACTACATATACCCTGAGTGGTGAGATTGTAGCTTCGGCTGTTGCGATGGGCTTACACCGAGGAGTCAAAGAAGAGGATCGGCTTCCATTCTTTCTAGCAGAACTACGAAAAAGGCTGCTTTGCCAGATGTATGGCGCGGAGATCGGTATCTCGACGTTTACGGGTCGCCCCCCTCGAATTTCACACCGTTATTGTAATCTACAACCTCCCTTGGACCTTGCGGTCTCTCAACTACTCCTCGAAGGAGACGACTTAACTCTAGCACTTGCTAGTCTAGATGAGAAAGGATTCAACACATTAGGAAGAATACGTCGCGTTACTTGGATAAGAATCTGGATTGGATTCGCTATACAAAGAGAAGATATATTGGACCTAGCCTTAGGCCCGTATACACGCGACGAGATCCTACAACGCGCGGAAGATATCAAAAATAGACATCGCCGATACATAGAGGAACTCCCGCAGTTCATCAAGAAAATAAGAGACTCGCCTATAGAAATAGAGGGTAGACCACCAACGGAAATATTATTTATGATCGTAATCCACCAATCCTTCCGTTCAAACGACCTTTTGCTCCAGCGCGTCTTGATTCGCAAAGCCGGGGCAAGCTCAGATGAGCTCATACGCCTTGCGCGCTCAATTCTAAAGGATATATTGTTAATCAGCCAGCGCCATGACCTAGGGACACTATTCAAAACAGATATTGCCTCTCTTCTCGCAGTACAAGGTATGCGGAGCGCCGCCGTCATGGCGGTCGAACTATTAAAACAAGAGCAACTCCCCGTCTATCCGAAAACCCCTCTTCTACCTAGGAGTCAGACCATCCAAGATCTAGCCGTTTTCGCAGCTGGGTTGGGGGCTGTCGATCCTAGTGACGGATCTTTTAGCATATGCGATCAAGGACGAAAGGTCATCTCTCATATACTTGATAGGATTCTGAGCCCCCCTGACCCTCCCATTCAACGTCAAGCTTCAGGTGAACAACCCGCGCATCAAAATCAAGATCAAGACGGGCAAGTCAACGAGACGGTTGTGGACACTCCGGCGAACGAGCCGACTCAAAGTTATGGCTTTCACATGCCGTGCGCAAATGATTTTACTATGACCGATCTGAACTTTGGTATCGACGCTCCTTTCTTAGGGCCTGACAATGACTTTATGCAGTGGCTTGAGAACATGGATTGGGAACGGCCTGTTTAATGAAGTTATTCTAGGTAAACACGACCTTGTGAAGACTATCTATTTTAACGCCGCCTTTTTTGTCGACCTCCTGAGATTACCACTGATATTGATAACTTGAAGTCGCTTACCGAATCGACAGTGGCAAATATGATGTTTTTAACCTAAGAACGGTTTAGGACTGCCTCTCACCGGAAAAAAAAAAAAAAAAAAAATCAATGCCTGCTTGTCCGAGCTATGCATATTTCCTAACTTTCTTTCCTGGGTTTAACACGGGTTTAGGTAGAATTAGAGTAACGGCTTCCCCCGAAGTCCTATGAGTTTACCGAGATTATGATTCCATCAAAGCGTCTGCCAGCCAGCTCGTTTGCATGGAAATGTTTGACATGTACGTTTAATGCGTGGTCATATTAGGTTTACTCGGATTGACATGCAAGTATGATTCGTTCGTACTATTTTTAAGTTAGGTAGTTTTCACTATGATACCGTATAACATCGCCGAGGGAAACCCTGAAGGGTTCCTGGAAGACATCCGTAATCTTGGTCAGGGACGGAAGACTACATCATCGATCCCATAAATTAGGCGGCTTTCTTACAAAAACCTGCCAACTATTCCACCAAACAAGCATCAAGTGACATCTCGGTTACCCACGATTTGGAAACCTAAACGTTGAATCAGGGGCCAATTCCACTTTAGCTTAGATGCTAGAAGCGTATGAAACCCAGTTCTCTCCTCATTGGGGGACCTTACTGATCGCCCTGCAGTCCACGTCGAATCATTACATCATGATCAAGTCTTCAACCTCACCACATGGTAGTCTTTCTAAATTCTGTACCCCGCATCCCTACGGTATATGAGACCATGGAAGACCATGGTTCTTGGCAATTAAGGAACGGTTCTAGATTGAAACTGCTTATCCACATCGAATACTTCGTTAAAGACTTGGCATTGTGGTTTAATATAGTATAATTCAAGATGGTTCACCAACACGGCGACGAACACGATATCCCCGAGGAACATCGTACTCAGAAGTAAGTTCACTAGCGATAGTCTTAGATATTAACATTAAAAGCTAGAATATTTGCTAATAATTATCCTTCATAGCCATGGCGCCTGGCTTCCAGCGGACCATCGTGTCCAACACGAATGGCTCAAGACGCAAATCGAACACGTCGACAAGGCTCCTCAAAAAGAGCTAATTCCCGTCCTTCAAGATTTTAAGAAATTGATCGAGGGAAACTCGCGCATTTACATGTACTTTAACCAAATGTGGGAGGAGATACCGCTCAAGAAGCCGTATTACAAAGACCCGACTGGTACCAAGAGGCAGATCCGAGACTACCGACATATGCTAGCCGTGCTCAACCACATCTTCACGCAGGCTCCTCAGTGGACTGATGCTGGATTCGGTGTTGGCATGGTCGGAGTCCCCATGGTGGGTATCTTCGACTATGTGATGGCTACACCTAGGTGAGCACCCCTGCCGGACTCGGGTGTGCAACCATGCCATTGGCTAACTCAATAATACAGTGGTCATGCCGCCTTCTTAGATCCGGAGGTCAATAAGATGATGAAAAAGATCCTGAATGAATGGGGCAAGTTCTTGAAGGTAAGCCTTCGAGTCTTGGTAAACAGGGCAAAGTCTATCCTAACAGTAATCATCGCAACTAGACACCGAAATCAGCCGAAGTGCTCGCCTCTCACAAGGAGGGCTGGTTCTCTGAGCACGGCCTGAAGGACTTGATGGAGGTAGCCAACGCACCGCTGAAGACGTCGCATAGGTTCGAGGATATGTACATCTGCGACCCTTCAGCTAAGCATTATGGCTATACTTCTTGGGACGGTAAGTATATCTGGTAGTGATCAGTTATCCCGCCCGTGACATTCCTTCGAAATCGAAATTGACATATCGCCAGACTTCTTCACGCGACAGCTGCGCGAGGATGCACGACCCGTAGCCTCACCGGATAACGATGACGTCGTAGCCAACTCATGCGAGTCCAAAGTGTACAACGTGGCACGACACGCCAAGCTACGCGACCGCTTCTGGATCAAGAGCCAGCCGTACTCGGTTCTCGACATGCTAGGCCACGATCCTCTGGCCGCACAGTTCGATGGCGCGACAGTGTACCAAGCTTTCCTATCAGCATTATCGTACCACCGTTGGCACGCTCCCGTCTCAGGCCGCATTGTACGCGCCTTCGTGAAAGATGGCACTTACTTTAGCGAACCGCTGTTCGAAGGCCCCGCAGGTGGTTATGCTGAGGGCGAACACAGCACGCAAGGCCCTGGTGAAATCGACACGCGCGGCATCAGCGTGGCTCAAGGATACCTGACGGCGCTGGCGACGCGCGCTGTCATCTTCATCCAGGCAGATAATCCTGCAATCGGACTGATGGCGTTCGTAGGCGTGGGTATGGACGAGGTCAGCACATGTGAGATCACGGTGGGCCAGGGGCAGCATGTACAAAAGGGCGACCAGATTGGTATGTTCCACTTCGGCGGCTCGTCGCACTGCCTGCTGTTCCGTGCCGGAGTACCGGTCGACGGGTTCCCAAGTCCAAGTCGGGCGGAGAATGTGGCCGTGAGAAGTCAGGTTGCTGTTATCAAGCGGAAGTAAGGATTCAAATCTTAGGCCTATTATATGTCACAGACAAGATTCGAATGGTGAGTAAGTTGTCTAGAAAGGGACCTTGATTTAAAAATAAATGGCCTTATATGATTAATCTAGAATGCCCAATCTTAAGGGAAAATAAATAATTATTAAGCCTCATTCTTGACAAGTTTTTAGCGCCTCATCCTTCACCGGAAAGGAGGATTGGCATTCTTATAAAGCTGCTCAAAATAGGCCGCAGTGATAATCGTATCTTGTAGCACTGGTGTCTCTAGTGCCATCGCATTCACCACCCGGCTTGGTCCAGACGAAGGCATCCAGGAGGTCGTTGCCCGTGTTGGCTGATGGACGTTGGCCAAAGCCCGTTCCAATAACATTACACCAACGACCCCATTCCTGTTGTCTTGTGGGCTGCTTTCCGCTTCCACCACTAACGCACTATGCTGTATCCTCAATGGGAAACTAAAGCGATAACTTCGTCGGGGCTGGGTAAACTTAGGTCGGTGACTACCACTGAATATTTTAGTCTCATGATGATCTAGACCGAGAGTCTCATTATACACCCATGCATGTTTACCCTCTTTCCTTGGGTCCAGAGGTAACATCCAACCCGGTATAACAAGCTAGGTTTGCCCAAGTCTAGACTCTGGGCACAGTGGGATAGACTTCGGAATCCAGAACCCGTACGTGCTGAACCCGGTTGTGGGGAATGCCATGTGATGTATTAAATCGCCTTGCCTTTTAATGATCAAGTGATGGTTGGATGGTTGTGAAGATGCTGATATGGAACGGGTATGTAGGTAGGTACCCAGGTACCTATTTATGTACCTAAAATATAGTGGAGTCATGCACCCAAAATACTTAATCCCCGCTAAAACATTGCACCGTGGCTGAACCCATACCCCCTTATCATTTCTGTCTTATCGCAGTGTGGCTACCTAGGTACCTACCTGTTAACCTTACCTAAGATTGGAATTTAATTGGCTCCCAGGTGTTCGACACGCTGATAGGAAACGCCATTGCTTCGCCCGTCGCGGCGTCACCGTACCTTTCTAACATCCGCATTCCAACTTAATTAATTAGTTTGGATAGCCAAAGACTCTCGTCATACCCTCCTTTTCCTTCTGGCGAGGGTTGAGTCGCGAGGTCGGCAAGATGCTTTCCGGTATCCTAATATTCAATCAAAAGGGCGAGAACCTCATCTTCCGAGCATTTCGAAACGACTGCCGACCACGTCTCGCCGATGTCTTTCGAATTCAAGTCATATCCAATCCTCAAGTCCGCTCGCCTATCCTCACCCTCGGAAGCACCACCTTCAGCCATGTTAAGCATGAAAACATCTACTTGGTTGCCATTACTAAGAGCAATGCCAATGCTGCCCTGGTGTTCGAGTTCCTATACCGGCTGATCCAGCTTGGTAGGGGATACTTCGGCAAGTTCGACGAGGAGGCCGTCAAGAATAATTTCGTCTTGGTCTACGAACTATTAGACGGTAAGCTTCTATTAACCCGTCCCATACTATACCATACCATTAAGTAGCTGTCATCTAATAAATATCTTATCATCTTATTTTAGAGATCATCGATTTTGGATACCCTCAGAACACCGAGACGGATACCCTGAAGATGTACATTACCACCGAAGGTGTCAAGTCCGAACGCGCACCCGAAGACTCGGCCAAGATAACCATGCAAGCTACCGGTGCCCTATCCTGGAGGAAGGCCGATGTCAAATACAGAAAGAATGAAGCATTCGTCGACGTGATAGAGGACGTCAACCTTCTAATGTCAGCTACGGGAACCGTTCTTCGTGCTGATGTCACTGGCCAGATCATCATGCGCGCATATCTCTCGGGCACCCCGGAATGCAAGTTCGGGCTCAATGACCGCCTTCTGTTGGACCACGATGGCCTCCAGTCGTTGCCGAGCGGCAATAAGCTCGGGACCAAAGCTACAAAAGCAGCTGCCGGCAGTGTTACCTTGGAGGATTGCCAATTCCATCAATGCGTCAAGTTAGGCAAATTCGACACTGACCGAATCATCTCCTTCATCCCTCCCGATGGGGAGTTCGAGCTTATGCGTTATCGAGCCACAGAGAACGTCAATCTACCCTTCAAGGTGCACGCCATCGTTAATGAAGTTGGCAAGACCAAAGTAGAGTATAGTATTGGCGTCAAGGCGAATTTTGGCAGCAAATTGTTCGCTACCAACGTCGTTGTTCGTATCCCCACTCCGTTGAATACAGCTCGTATCACGGAACGATGCACCCAAGGCAAAGCTAAGTACGAGCCAAGCGAGAACAACATCGTCTGGAAAATCGGCCGCTTCACTGGTCAAAGCGAATTCGTGTTAAGTGCCGAGGCGGAGCTCACGAGCATGACAAACCAGAAAGCCTGGTCGCGCCCGCCTCTCAGCATGAACTTCAGCCTTCTCATGTTTACCAGCTCGGGTCTCCTTGTACGATACTTGAAGGTGTTTGAAAAGAGCAACTATTCAAGTGTAAAATGGGTTCGATACATGACGAGAGCAGGGTCATACGAAATCCGGTGAGTCTTACGTCAACTCCTCCCCCGAGACCCCGACATAATTGCTGACCGTTACCGTAGATTCTGATCGTGACAAATTGGACGGAAGGAGCCAACTCACATACATGCCAGGGAAACCTGATATGGTATTTCTTCGCTTAGAGGCGATATCCTGTCGCAAACATCGACTTCAACCGGTTACGGCCACGTTCTCCGACGGATATACCGAGATATTAGCGAAGTTGGAGCATGCCATACTCTCCTATTGTAAAGGGGATTATTGCAGGGCACTGTCAATTCGAGAGATTGACATTAGATCCTAATACTAGATCTACTCGCGAAGAGCATCGCGACTAGAAGCTAATAGCCACCGGAGATGTCGTAGCAGAAATTTTGGTAACTGTGTACTCATAGCTCCGTATCACGGCCCAGCAAATCTTCAATTATACTAGATGTATGGCGAAGCTGTGGATGTGGGAGTCTTAAGTATAAGACTATTAAAGGATTATAATCCCGCGGAATTACAGTCATGACGAACGATACCAACTCAATTATACATGACCAAAGCCCGAGCAAGAGATGTAATTCGACAAAATTTATCTCTTACTAAAATCTGACCAATAATATTTATAAGATAATTATATTTAAACTCCGTCATCGGTGCTGTAAATCATATATTAAGGAAATGGGAACCCATCCGTCAATGTGATATCAGACGTAGCGCAGCAGAGTGTATACCTACCTACCTAGTTTTAGGAGCCATTCAAGACTACCTAGAGATCATGTCTTCCACACCAGCAGCAACAGCAGATGATATTGCCAAACATGGCTGGAGTGCCTTTCCAGTCGACGGCAATGCTATCCTCAATGGGAAACCCTATCTACACAAACCTTCTCCCCTAACAGTGAAAGATATCCCGTTTCCCTCGGACGATGCTGTCGTCGCCGGGATTCAAGAATACGCCAAGAAGCATCTTATCGAAGAAACGTACAATCATTCAATGCGGGTTTACCACTGGGGTAAGGGAGACCAGTTAACAACCACATGCGAAATGCCTCTTTAAGTTCGAGCTAACCGAGCGGCCAGGATATTCCATCCTCAAGGACCAATTTCCCGAAGAATTTGGCAAGCTCTCCTTGTCCACGTGGGCGCTGACGTGCCTCCTCCACGACATAGGCACTACGCACAAGAACTTGCGAGCAACACTGTTGTCATTTGAATTTTATGGAGGAATACTAGCCCTAAACCTAACCAAGGAACTCGGTGCACCACCAGCCCAGGCCGAGGCCGTAGCCGAGGCAATCATCCGGCACCAGGACCTAGGTACCGTCGGTAAGATCACGTTCCTGGGACAGCTCATCCAGCTCGCGACTATCTACGACAATATGGGCATCAACCCGCAGATCATCGACACGGTCACCAGGGACGATGTCAATAGGGCGTATCCGCGAAAGGGCTGGAGCGGCTGCTTCTCGAAGACGATTAGAGAGGAGAATGGGCTTAAGCCTTGGGCGCATACTACGCACCTTGGCGAGGAGGATTTTCCTGAAGGTGTGAAGAATAATGAGCTTATGAAGCCGTATGATAACTGGGGTTTGTGATGGAGTATGGGGCTGGAGAGAGGTTTCGGGATGGCATCATCTGGAAGAAGGGTGGACGGATGCTGTGATGTGGGCGACCAACCAAGACGATTCTGCCCTAGGTAAAAGCTATGTATGTAGGCACGGGCCCAGAATGACATATCCCGTTTAAGTGTTCTTACTCCTGTAATTTAATAGTCTTGTATTTTGTAAAGCGGTTGCTTGCGCCATTCTCTATATAGTTGGCTAAAAATATTTTTGATTAGTGCGAGCTCGCCATCACAATCAGCAACCCTCTAATTGATAATTTCTCAGTATCCAGATACCTAGGTCCCACCCATACTATTGGCAGTTATTATTGATGATACTCTGTACAAAAGATGTCCCTTTCGGTTCTTATAGAAGATATTTACTAACCTTCCATTATGCCAAGCGGTAAAATGAGCCTCAGCTTCAGCCTCAGTGGAGTATACCGATGATTTACCGAAGCTAGTCTGGGGCCAGCCTTATTACCTTATCAAGTAAGTGGGGGGAATGTAGAATGTTTGATTGCCTCCACGATTGTCGGACAAGAGCATAGAAGCTTCTACTAGATTGAATTGTGTAACTACGTATGTAATGTGTAAATAATACAGAACATCAAAATATTAAACCATTTAAATGTATCTCGCAGACCCATGCATGCCTATGTATTAGGTACATATATATGCAAGGAATTACGTCTTATTAACCTGGAAATATGCTGTACATGTTGTATGCAGGATTGAAACTTCCATTCTATGTAGAGTACCTTAGGTATGTAAATAAGCTAAGAACCAATTATAAGGTACCTAGCCACTAGGTACCCGGGCAGCTACTGCGCCGTATGTATGGCAGATTTACTAGGCTGACAGGTAGGTATCCCCGTTTGACTTCCCCCTGCCTCCAACGTTCCAGAAGTTTGGAGAAACTGCAGGCACCGGCCGCAAAGAGATGGAAGGCTCGAGACGCCTGGAAGCCTGGACTGGTATGTCGGTGCTCTGGATGCTTTCGTCCAATCAATGGTCCACAGTGGTTGCCCTGGAGCAACTCTTAGCCAATCAGAGAGCTCAGCGCTGTTGGTTAGCACCAGAATTGCCATAGAATTCAATAGAAACCATGGTGGGGCCGTGCACCCAAAGGAAAGAGCTCTGAAGAAACATTTCTAGCTGCGGACTGCGGTTTCGTGAATAATACTTCTTCCCTTTCCCTCCTCACCTTTTCTCAACTTTTTTCTTCCTCAGATCAATCCATTCTTCTTACATCTTCTCCAGTAACAAGAAGTGAACATAGAATTTCTCTTGTGATACCCCCAAACCGCCCTCACCATACCATCATCTTCTGGTAAGTTTAACCCCACTGCATTCAAGACATTTCCCCCACCTTATCAGTCTTGTCTTTTGCCTCTCGTCCAATTTTACAACAAATCCGCTTCTCTCTGTGACTTCAACTGTTCAATAAAGAATAAAATAGCAATACAAGGCGCAAGCTCCTAAAGATTTGTTTAATTCCCATTGAACCGCTCTCGTTGGATGCTTCGACGTCTTGTGCGAATATCTCTTCACCCCGCCATCATAACCCCTCTTACTCTCCATTACACTTAACCCTTGCCAATATCCCCGGTTTTCTAGCCCAAGCTAACCACCTATTTGCTCTAGACTCTTAGAACTCCATACTCCTACCAAACCCTCAATCAAGATGTCGGAGACTTTCGAGTTCCAGGCTGAGATTTCTCAGCTTCTGTCTCTCATCATCAACACAGTCTACTCCAACAAGGAAATCTTCCTACGAGAGTTAATCTCCAACTGCTCAGATGCTCTCGACAAGATTCGATATGAGGCCCTATCAGACCCGAGCAAGCTCGATTCCAACAAGGACCTCCGCATCGACATCATTCCCGACAAGGAGAACAAGACCTTGACCATCCGTGATACCGGTATTGGTATGACGAAGGCCGTAAGTTACCCACCTAATAACAGTGTAATTTTTAGTTACATATTATTAACATCAGTGTTAGGACCTTGTCAACAACCTGGGTACTATTGCCCGATCAGGCACTAAGCAATTCATGGAGGCTTTGACTGCTGGTGCCGATGTTTCCATGATTGGTCAATTCGGTGTCGGTTTCTACTCCGCATACCTTGTTGCCGACCGAGTCACCTTTATCTCCAAACACAACGATGACGAGCAGTACATCTGGGAGTCGTCCGCCGGTGGTACCTTCAGCGTCAGGCCCGACACCGATGGCGAGCCTCTCGGTCGTGGTTCCAAGCTGATCCTCCACTTGAAGGATGAGCAGACTGAATACCTCAATGAGAGCAAGATCAAGGAGGTTATCAAGAAGCACTCTGAGTTCATCTCGTACCCCATCTACCTTCACGTTAAGAAGGAGGTCGAAAAGGAGGTCCCTGATGAGGAGGCTCTCGAGGTCGAGGAAGTCGAAGAGGGTGACGACAAGAAGCCCAAGATCGAAGAAGTTGACGACGAGGATGAGAACAAGGAGAAGAAGAAGAAGGTCAAGAAGGTCAAGGAGACTACCATCGAGGAAGAAGAGCTCAACAAGCAGAAACCCATCTGGACCCGAAACCCCCAGGATATCAGCCAAGAGGAGTATGCTGCTTTCTACAAGTCTCTGTCCAACGACTGGGAGGACCACTTGGCTGTCAAGCACTTCTCTGTCGAAGGTCAGCTTGAGTTCCGAGCTATCTTGTTCGTACCCAAGCGTGCTCCCTTTGACCTCTTCGAGACGAAGAAGACCAAGAACAACATCAAGTTGTATGTCCGCCGTGTCTTCATCACCGATGATGCCACTGATATCATCCCTGAATGGTTGAGTTTCATCAAGGGTGTTGTCGACTCTGAGGATCTGCCTCTGAACTTGTCTCGTGAGACCCTACAGCAGAACAAGATCATGAAGGTCATCAAGAAGAACATTGTCAAGAAGGCTCTCGAGCTCTTCACCGAGATTGCCGAGGACAAGGAGCAGTTTGACAAGTTCTACAGCGCTTTCTCTAAGAACTTGAAGCTTGGTATCCACGAGGACTCCCAGAACCGACAGACTCTTGCCAAGCTTCTGCGATTCCACTCCACCAAGTCTGGAGACGAGCAGACTTCCTTGTCCGACTATGTCACTCGCATGGCCGAGCACCAGAAGAACATTTACTACATCACCGGCGAGTCTATCAAGGCTGTCTCCAAGTCTCCCTTCCTGGACGCCCTTAAGGAGAAGAACTTCGAGGTTCTCTTCTTGGTTGATCCCATTGACGAGTATGCCATGACTCAACTGAAGGAGTTCGAGGGTAAGAAGCTTGTTGATATCACCAAGGACTTCGACCTCGAGGAGACCGAGGAGGAGAAGAAGGCTCGTGAGGCCGAAGAGAAGGAGTTCGAGGGTCTTGCTAAGTCGTTGAAGAACGTCCTTGGCGACAAGGTTGAGAAAGTTGTTGTATCTCACAAGCTGGTTGGCTCTCCTTGCGCCATCCGAACTGGCCAGTTTGGCTGGTCTGCTAACATGGAGCGTATCATGAAGGCTCAGGCTCTCCGTGACACCTCGATGAGCAGCTACATGAGCTCTAAGAAGACCTTTGAAATCTCCCCCAAGTCCCCCATCATCAAGGAACTCAAGAAGAAGGTTGAGGCTGATGGCGAGAACGACAAGACCGTCAAGTCTATTGTCCAGCTTCTGTTCGAGACCTCCCTGCTCGTCTCTGGCTTCACCATCGAGGAGCCCGCCGGCTTTGCGGAGCGCATCCACAAGCTGGTATCCCTGGGCTTGAACCTCGATGAGGAGCCCGAAGTTGAGGAGGCGCCAGCTACTGCTGACACTGCTGCTGCTGAGACTGGTGACAGCGCCATGGAGGAGGTTGACTAAATGCATTAATTGGCAGGAAAGGAACGGGAATTGCAAAAGTTCTTCGGAGTTGGATGGTTTCGGGCTTCTTTTTCCGGTGACGTCGTGTCTTAGGCATTTTTCTCTCGATAATTCCTCATGCCTCCCAGTCGCGGGGCCGTGATAATTTCTAGCAGGTTTAGACATTGCTAGTTGGTGGTTGCATTACGGATTGCTTATGTACTTTATGCCCTTACGAGAGATACTGGTCGGCTGATCCGTAGATGAAATGAAGTATTCATGGAATTTTAATATTTCAAGTTTTCACGCTCACAATTAAGTGATATTGTCCGTAGTAGCGTAAATGACTCCCCCCCGGCTGTTGCACGCCTAACATTTCCAATTGTAGATGTATGCCAGCCACCCAGTCGCAACAAATGAAGTATAGGAAAGCAAGACTTAAGTTTATTCTGCTTTAGTGCGTTATTATAGAAGTACATTGTCAATATAGTCCTATCCTATATTAGATTCCAGGTTAGATTATACCTTGGGTAGGTAGGTAAGCGTAGAAGACATCCTACTGCATACTACGTTTTTCATAACACTCATTTCTTAAGTTCACCGCTTCGGTAATAAGTGTAAGAATGTATATTAAGCGTTGAAGCGAGAAGGAGTCTATTATTCCCGTTTGTCTCTTGGGTTTATAAGGACCTGTTTTGCTATTAACTTATACAGGAGTAATCTCAAGGCCATAGACTTTTTACAGCTCTTCTCATCCTAAATTCTCAGTAGGATAAATGTGACTCATATCTCCTACTAACTTAAGGAAATATCAAATAGGTGCCTAGATATTAATTGAGACCAAAACTACCTAAGTAACCCAGTTCTGAGTTGGTTGTATGATACACGCAAGTCCAGATTCATTGAATTGACATTTGGGTGTAATACGATTAGAGCCTCGTAACAATGACAATAGCATCGATATCCAGTCGGAGCCCCGAAGTCACTTAAAAGCCGGTGCGAAGATAGATCTAATTTCATTGTATAACATCATCATATCTTCGTATAGTCGGCTAGGTAGCCCTGCAACTTCCAAAGTTTGAGCTGAAGGTTCGTTGTTCGCCGCCCGGCAAGCATGAAGATAGAACCGTCTTTCAGGCTGGGTGCCTCTTTTTTGATACAATTTGCTTGCTCGCTCCCTAGAAGCATAGGCATATTGTGCACGGCGACGCTCGTGGTGTACGTCTCTCCTTGAATATCTACCTTCTGAACACCGAACGTGGCGAACGGGCCGGGTTGGCTATGAGTCTGACCCGCCTTCACGTCCTCATCCGGCTCCCCGAACCAAAGTATGGCGCCGTTGTGCTTGTATTTTACGTCATCCCAACCATAGCACTTCACGATATAGTAGCGCTTATCCTCGGCACAAAGCCTGGAGAGATACAAGATGTCGTCCACGATTCCCTGTCGCATCATGTCTAGGATACAGCTGTCCATATCCTGGCGCCAGACAACTTTGTTCACTAGAGACCTATACCGCGGAGTGGCTCCTGCCATTCGCTTGGCGCCGTGGTCGAAACCGGTCCCCTTAACAGCAATCGAGGAGATTAGATCCTGTCTTGCTAAACAATAAACAGTCGGACCTTGTAGTTGGCCATCGTTTGTCGAAGCAGTAGTCGCGGAAGCCACATCCTTGTCTTTCTCTGCTTGTTCGCGCTCTACCTCATTCAAGGCTTCTGCTATACCTTGTGTATCCGCCTCGTCACCGGCGGGAGGTTCGTCGGGTATCAGACTACGCGGAACGAACCATGGGTCACCAGTTTCGGGGTGGGCGAGGATGGTAAAGTCTTGAAGAAGGGAGCTGGGTAGCCGCGTGCGAGTCAACGAGCACATTCGCAACTTCGTTGCCAGAGCTTTGGCTATATGATACATATATTAGTAGTTGACGATGATAATAGAAATTAGCCAATATAATAATCGTACCGAACGGATTGGCCCGAAGTTGACGCTCGACTGAGTTCAGGGGTTTTCCAGGCTTCGCTTTAGGAACCTGGTGCCGCCTAACAGCTTCCCAATATGTAGGGTCCATGACGGGAGATAGGGGTAGCTCGCCGACGACTGTTTTCACCGTCTTAGTTTCTGGGTGAACCTTGAAAACATCGTCTCGATCGCTTGCGAGCTGTGCATTGCCATGCTGAGCTCGATCATCTGCAAAGTGCCGACAATTCAAACGCGGGGCAAATATTTTGAATTGGTTAGATTTGGCACCGTTCTGCCGCAGTGCTTTACATAGTCTCATAACATTGGCCGTGCTATAGAAGATAGAGGACAGAGGATAGAGAATATAGAGAATATATGAAGTGCTTTTAAGCTAAGGGTGAAGCTTGAGGAGAAATTAATTAGTGTTAGGTTAGGTACTGAGCTGAGATGCGAAGTAGACCTATAAAGTCGTGCAGTAGGTACATAAAAATACTAACTTCGTACTACCTACTAAGCTTATCAACTTATCAACTTATCTTAGTTAAGTTATGTAATCACAAGATCGCGGAGTGTCATACATAGTAGCTCCATGGAATTGACCGATCACAGCTTCCCAATATTAATCCGAACCTCGCACGGAAGTTGCGCTTCCAGTAACCAGAATCTTGGGTCCGACGTCAAAGTTTATTTTAACACCAACTCTTCAACTCTTCAACTCTCCAACATTTTTCGTCTTTGAATTTTTACCCTTGATTTTTTTTTTTTCAGAACATTATGAATTGCCAACGGTTTCTCTGGCGGGCGGCGACGAAGACGGTGGGATGTGGTACTCGTCGCTTCTCACAGTTCCCTCCTCCGAACTCTACCCAAGCTCCTCATGGAGCTATTCCCTTACCTTTTATCACAGAAGTTACTGTAAGACAAGTCAATGGGAGATACGCAAAGGGACCCAATAGCTGACTGAATAGTCCGGTGGTTGGAGGACATGTTCGTAGACGTTGAGCTTGTTACTATGTATCAAAGGCGGATTTGCTGATCAAATCTCATAGACGATATCTTCTCTAAGCTGTTACAAGTATGTATCTCCCCTTTATATCCCCTCTATAGTTTAATCACTTTTATTAATTGACAAGCTAGGAACGAATAATATGCCTGAATGGGGCTATTGACGACACGGTATCGGCTTCGGTAGTGGCCCAACTGCTCTGGTTAGAATCCGACAATCCGGATAAGCCAATTACCATGTATATCCACTCTCCTGGAGGCTCCGTAACGGCTGGGTTATCTATCTACGATACTATGGCTTACATCCGTTCGCCGGTATCGACAGTATGCCTTGGCCAAGCTGCTTCTATGGGCTCGTTACTGCTCGCAGGAGGCGAAAAGGGAAAACGATTTGCCCTACCGCATAGCAGTATCATGATCCACCAACCTTTAGGCGGCACACAGGGTCCCGCAAGTGACATTTTGATTTATGCAAATCAGATACAACGCACGCGCGAGCAAGTCAACGAGATTTACCGGAAGCATCTAAATGCGGCTTTTGATCATGAGAAGTACAGCCTTAAAGATGTAGAGGATATGATGGAGCGCGACAAGTACCTTACGGCGCAAGAAGCGAAAGACATGGGCATCGTGGACGAGATTCTCACGAGAAGAGATGACAAAAAGGCCGAGAAAAAAGAGGATAGTAACGGCACATAAAAGACCCGCTCAACTCGAGTCCCGCCATGATTGATCAATAGATTAGGTTATTATTATTTTCTGACTATTGCTGACGAGTACGAACTCGGGACCCTCGTTAGGACTAGGGAACCCCTGGCTTTTCTTGACATGTCGGCAATTCTAAACCGCTTGGTGTCGCCCTACCGGAGGAGTAAGGAAGACTAACCGTTACAATTACTTAAGCCGGTTCGCAGACATGGCGCCATGCATTCATGCGCCCATGCGCCCATGTACCAAGGGAAATGAATGCATGTGCTAATCGCATCTAGATGTTGTACCTGATCTTGGGAACCTCTAGACCATGTGGCCCACTTCCAGACATGTAATGCTGCACAACAACCGCACCGCAAGCATACATAACGCACGCCCGCGTTAATACCGCGTTTGGACTCCGTGTCTTACGTACACATATATCCATGTGGTATTTAAGGGGAAGCTGACAGCCGCAGCCTTACTTACTACGAGGGATAGGTCTACAACTCGTAGACCTCCCTCTGCAAAGCAGGGCCTATGCATTTTGTTCACATCAGACGTTAACCCGCGATTGGTCTAAATATGGCCGGCAGTCTATTGATTAAGCTTATAGAAAGCGGGCGGGAGCGGCTTGAGAACTATGTATACCTTATGGATCCGCGATCCGCGGCAAACGAAGCATACAAAGTGATCAAGTCCGGTCAAACTAACGCTAAGGGCGAAAGTGGCGGGTCGAAGTGGAGAGGGAATTAGGAAGACTAGACCGAACGGCCGAGTTAGCTAACCAAAACGAAGTTGCTAAGAGGTAAGCAAGGGCCATAACAGGGCAGAGTGCGTATTGGGATTATTTTAATAGCGAGGATAGCACGCACGCACCCTTTCTCTCTTACTAGGGTCCACACTTGGGTATACATCCCGCTCAGTTGAATCCCAGCCTATTCCTTACGATTCTCCCCTCGCCTACCACATTTCCTTCTTCCCCTTTTCGCTCGGCCTCGGTATACCCATAGCCATGGCCATGGCCGTCGCCTTATCTCATTCCTATTGCCGGTTGAGGTCGAAACGCGCCCACGCTAGGGTCGAGCGTTTAAGACGAAAAGAGCACACGAGGCAACGTCACTCCACTGATTTATACTCTAAGAAGCTGATCACCGGCTTCTTCCTTTTAAACACACCACGCCAGTCCAAGGCCACTTAACCGGGTTCGTGATTATTACCACAGTACCGTTACTACGTCAATGCAAGACATTTGATCTTCCTCCTGCGTCTCTAGACTTCCTAACCACATACTACCTATGTAACTCTTGTGATTACCTATTAAATATTCAAACGATCCCCACTCAATATCAAACCCCCCTTAGCCCTATGTTACCTACATGTAGGGCTGATAATCTTTCTATCGTATTCTCTACTTTCCACTCCGTAGTCGGGCCATTCCTTCGCTTCAACAACAAGAATATTGTTAAGATCATTATGCTATATCGTTATCAAATTACCTGGGATCGCCTCGCGTGGACGTAGACGACATTTCTTCTGTCTTTTGCTTTCCGCTAGTATCAGTAGTTTTACCCGCTGCTCGACAAAGTCTATTGGGAAAGGTAGTCATTGTTACGCGCATGCGGCAAAGTAGACCGAAGATCTATTCGTATCACGATCTCACCAGCTAAAAAGGGTTTGCCTTCGGTAGGGTATATAAAGTCAGGATGCATGGCGACTTCACATTCACGGTTAATAACTACTTAACCAACCCCAATGTCAATATGATGCTTCCTTACCGCAGCTTTGGTTCGACTCCAGTCATGCAGACCCTTTCGCCAGAGTTGTCTCCTCCTGCAAGCGATTCTAGCCCTGTTGATTCAAGTAGCGTCTCGAGTCATGATGTTGAGCCTGTCAAGCCAACGGCAATGCATATGCAGACTGTCTTCTCCTCGCAGACCGGAGAGGCTCATCCTTCGCAGCAACATTCGGCCCAAGTATGGGAATCTCATAAAGCTGAAATACGACGACTGTATTTGGAAGAGAACAAGCCACTGAAGGAAGTCATGGCGATTATGCGTCAAAAGGGGTTTCGGGCAACGTGAGCCGCTGAGTTTCCACCACCTCTTGTATACCCCGTTGGCTAACGATGCCTTGGCAGTGTCAGAATGTACAAATCGCGCTTCGACAAGTGGGGGTTTAGTAAAAATAACAGCAAAAAGGACGTCATCGCCATGTTGCAGGTCCAGCGTCAACGAAATGCTGTCGGTAAACGCACAGCCTTTCATCGCAACGGAAAGGAGGTGGCCATCGATGCTTACCTCAAGAGAAAAGGGATCTCGCAATACGATCTCGTAGAACCCGGCCTGGTCGAGAATCTTCCCGAGAACCTGCGCTGCCTCACGCCACCCCCCGAAAGCCCTAAGGTTCTACATTCCCCAGGTAATCTATCGCTACAGGAGCTCGTCTTACAATGCGCGAGAGATTTGGCCTGGAATTGGTACTGCCCGCCTGATACCCCGTTAGTTGCTTGCGCAGCCCATTATCGCGGAGACGAGTTACGTTGTGCGATCACAGATATTACCAATGCGGACTGGTTATTCTCTGTTGGGCAGTACGAAAGGGGTGGTGCGATGTGCGAGCAAGGTTTTAAGTCTTTGCACTTGGTTTTTAAAAAGCCATCGATATATGGATTGCTGCATTTGTTAATCACTGTGCTTGATGCCTCGAATAAAGGAGTTGTCAAGGAAATTTGGCGATACCTTTCAGCATACGCATCTGCCGTTCGACTCGATGGGCCCTTGGCGCGACTCTTCCAGGGAATGTGGAAATATCTTAGCACCCATGAATACGAGGAGTTCTGGGACTTCATTTTCGAGTGTACCGAAAAGCTCCTCCTAGTCGAAGAACGCCATACTGGCCTCCCGGCGGATACGTTACCAAGGCTTTATCCTATATTGTTCATTCCACGAGCTTACCAATACCAATCCCAACCCTATCGTCGTCTTCAGAGCCGCTGCGACTTTAAGCGACTGGTCCAAGGACCCATGCCAACGGCGATAGAAGAATTAACCGTTTTTCAGGCAACCGAACTACTCATCTTAGGAAACCAGACGTTGTGGCAAGGCGATCGCGTTTTCGAGCTTGCCAATACGGTCCTCGAGAACACGAAGAGCATTGCTTATAATACTGAATTCTTCGTTTACATCGCACTAACTTCGCTAGCCCACTACCACAGAAATCAATTTTTACTGAAGAAAGATCCAATTTCCAAGGAATCAAACCACCAATTATCGGTACACTACCTCGAACAGATTGTCTCGGTGATGGAGGGTCAATGGGACCCTGATATGGGATACCTTCTCGGCGAATTAGAGCGGTTGGAGCATTGGTATAGGGAAGCGGGCGACATTACTCAGGCAGACGCCGCACACACCAGATGGCAGAATGCTCTAGAAGCAATACCGAAGGACTTCGTTAGAGGGCGAAAAGGCATATTACATTAGTTTCCGGAACACCAGGGGACAATACGCCACTACCAAGCGCAGAATTTAGGAGGCTATCATGGAAATGAATGGCTACCTACCTATGTATATGTATGAACATATTCATTCTTGTAGGGATTTGCTTTTGGATAGCGCCGGTGTTACGGATAGGTAAAAAAACTACATAGCGCTGCGAGTCTCGATTTGCTCCTATTAATAGGGATAAGACAAATTTTGAGTCTGATTGGTATCGTCTGTTTACTAGCAGTCTATGTATATCTACAGAATAAAAAAGCATTGCACATTATTCAACACTAACTCCGATATACTATAGTGTTTCTTCAACTCTTATGTAAAGCCGTCAATTTGAACTCGCGCACAAGACATTTCGATTCTCTTCGTATCTCTGAGATACCGTCCTATCGGTTTCGCCCAGTCAAAAGGAGTTCCTTGTTGGAGAGACTGAGGGGGGCAGTGAGAGTTGGGCGAATCAGAGCGTCTAATATGGACAACCCACGGATTGCGCCGATGCGCAATAACGCAGTCCTGCATCTGCAGCCTCATGCGACAACCCTTATATGAATATATATAACATTGTAACCCCAGTCTTGCTCATTCTTACTTTGAAACTTCTTAATCAACTTTACCCTTATCACCACTTACCTTTAGTCACTCCTTTTCTCTTTTATCTCAATAAAACCATTGCCTCTTTGGTTCCCGAATCTCAAAGCAAACCCAAACAATCTCAACACAGTCTCATATCAGATCTCAGGAATCCTAAATGATTTGTCAGTTGGTTCGTGGGAACCTTATGGAAGTCTATACATGGAACTGCTGCGACTGCAACCACGATCGTCATGGATAAAGAGTACGATCACGATAGGGACGGCCCAGAGTGTAATAACTTAGAAGGCTGTCCATGGTCTGGACGCCCGCCACAGCTGAGTGCTACAAATTTCACGACAAATCAAGCGGGACAGACCTATATCGACGACGAACAGCGTGTTTCCCCCTCTCCTCTCTCCACCCAACTCACCATGTCAACGTGTAGAAGTCTTGACTCTAAATCAAGATCCTTTCTACCATCAGATAAAATCGATACCATAGCGCCACAACTAGTAAAGGAAGAGCTCAATAGAGCTATGCCAACACTCAATGAATCTGTCCTCCACGTCTATACCGCCCAGATTCTGGGTATCACAATCGACGATGCTACGGGCCAGGAAAATAACTCTAAGAAGTCGAGCCTCCAGTTACAAGGACTAGAGGCTCGACTTCTAAAAACGTTTATAACCCTAGTACTCATTGGCAAAGTTGAAGCGATCCCATTATTTATTATCTGCGGATTTACGGATTCCTTGCTTCCGATCGGTCACGCTCACTTCCAAAATGAAAAAGCATCGCGACCTTATCCCTCGTCACTGGTATTACTAGTCACACGGTGTTTTGATAAATGGAAAATTTCTAGTATCGACGCCTTTATAAAGACTCAATGGGTAGTCCTGTCCCCATTTCTCAGCGCACCAACGACAGATGTCTCTCTCTACGACTTCTCCGCGCAAACTATCCTCCCCATTTTCGGCGACGACGCCGCTGCCACGTCCTCTATCAAAATTGGCGGCTACAGCACTGTTCGAAAAGTTAAAATCCATCATCGACATCACAATTTTGGGGATAATCAGGTACGTATCAGGGGTTGGCTCGTATATGTGGGATCTAGTTACTAAATACTTCTTAGGACAATCAATACTTCGCTCTGAAAAAACTTCGCTCCCAACATATTGAAGACTTTCAGCGCGAAGTAACCGCTTTAAGGCCATTCGTGGTCTTCCCACATCCGCACGTTGTCAAACTTCTGGCAGCTTTCCGGCATGAAAGTTCGTTCTATCTGCTCTTCCCATGGGCTGAAGGGGGAAGCTTACACTCTTTCTGGAAAGAAAATCCAAAACCAGTCCCAGATACATCTCTCTCAAGATGGATCTCAGAACAATGTCTTGGAATTGCCACTGCGCTGTGTCAAATCCATCGTGGCCACTCTACACTTGAGACGAGTTCATCACACTACGGGCGGCACGGAGATATAAAGCCTTCGAATATTCTATTATTCCAAGGGAATATTCGTAGTAAAAATCATGTCTGGGCGCTCGGCGACTTTGGTCTTGGTACACTAAACCGCCAGAAGGAAGGAAACAGAGGTGACCACCCCATCGGATTCTCGCCCACTTATAGGGCCCCGGAACTTGACATAAAAGGGACAATTGACAGCGCTTACGATATTTGGTCCCTTGGATGTGTTTTTCTTGAGCTTGTCACTTGGATGCTTCGCGGGTGGGAAGGGGTCACGTCTTTCGCCCTCTCTCGAGTTGACATAGATCAACGAACTGATAAAGCGGGGGATAGAGACGACGGGTTCTTTAGGATCGTGGCAAGACAAGGAGATTCACCAGATGCACAGCTCAAAACAAGCGTTGTTCTAGTAAGTCTCGCAGTCTCAGATATATGAGGTTCTCTACTAATAGCACAGTGGATCAATAATCTCACCACGGCGAAGACAACGAGTCCTTATATTACGGACTTGGTGAACCTTACGCGCGATGACCTGCTAGATACTAATAGGGAAACGAGAGCTAGCATCTCACGGGTTGTGGAGAAGCTTCGGTGTCTTCGACAGAGATGTTTAGAGGACCCAACGTACACGGTAGCTATTCCGCGGCCTCGCAAACCGCCGTGGCCAACCCGAAAGCTCACAAGCCTTCACCAAACCAACTCTTCAGTATTGAAAAGCAAAACCCAACCAATAAGTTTCAAGATGGACCAACTACCAAGCTCTAACGGGCTGGATCTCACAGATTCAACAACAGTACCCCGTCAGGGTCCCTTTTGGCCCAACTTCAGTGAGCCTTATGGCAAAGATGATGAAATCGCATTATTCAGTTTTCCCTCTACCGATATGATGCCTATAGAAGGCCTATCAGGTGGCCGTCAGTTCGACTTACTAACCCATCGGTATATCCTCCCTAAGGGGCAGACTTCTTCTACTCAAAGTACTCTCATGGATCCAAAAAGCCGGAGACGGGTCTTCGACGATATGACCGGTCACGAAAACATAAGCCATGAGCCGAAAAAGAAAAAGGTGCGCAAGAAAGGGGCTACGCTGATGCAGAATGTTTCCAAGGATAAACCGCCAGATATTCCGGAGCAGAACTCATCCCAAGCGGCCCGTTATGAAGTCGTAGAGCCGTCGGGACCCGATGTAGAGGGGAAACTATTCGCTTGTCCATTCTACAAACAGAATCCGGGGAAGTATAACACGAAAGCCTGGAAGGCGTGCGCCATACCCGAAGGCCGAACGATAAATAGACTAAAGTCAGTTTTATTTATTCATCGTAAGAAAATTGCATGTGCACTAATGGCTAACTGGACAACATTAGAGAGCATATATACCGTAATCACTGCTCCGCCCGCCGTCGGTGCGACCGTTGCTTCTCCGAGTTCGAGAACATGTACGATCTCCAACAGCACCGTCGTTCGGAGACGCCTTGTCCAATCCAAGATTCTCATAACTGTATCGACACTATTGATGAAACACAGAAAGGCGAGATCCGGAAGAAACAGCGCGGGATATCGGAGGAGGAGAAGTGGAAGAAGATATATAGGATCATATTCAAACTAGATCCGACATCCGAAGTCCCATCACCTTGTAAGTGACTCGGAATATTGTTTCATAACCTTAGGTACCTTAAGTAGAGAATGCTAACATAGCTACCTACCTATTTACTAGACTGCGATGCGATTGAACAGGAATCTAGCGCAGGAGATAACCAAGACAGCACTGACACACTTGCCAAGTTCGAGGCTTTCCTTCATCATCTAGCAGATGATGACCAGCAGAAGGCATCGGAAATTAACAGCTGCCTCAACCTCGTCAAGCGCTTTCGTGGAGAACACGCGCAAGACCAGCCAGTAGGGACCACGTTACCCGAGATGCCGTGTCTAACCTGCGACTATTCCGACGATACCACCTGGACATCCGAGTCGCAGGGGTTTCCATCATCAACACTAACAACCATAGACGACGACACACATTCTACCAACTTCTCCACTGCCGGCACGGATCAGCTACCCGCTCCTCCATTCTGGGATGACGCGTTCGCGGCTCATTTCAACAAGGTCTTTTCGTCGGATAAACCATATAGTTTCCCGGATACTCTCGACTTGACGGATGATGGTGGGATGTTACCAGGGGGGTAGTTGAAGCCGCATGTCCTCTGTTTTTAGACGTGATTTCCCCTTTTTATGTCGAGATACCAGTTATGGGTGTATGTGCTGTCTTTGCATGGGATAGGGAGAAAAAAGTACCGGTTTTATATGGGAGGATTGGTTTCTATTTCCTCCGAGGATATCATGAGTTATGACTATGGGCTGGGATTTTCAATATGGGGTTTATTTTTTATTTATTTTTTTATGTCTCTTAATATAGGTGTAGCGGTGCGAATAGAATTACTTACAAATAAGTCGCGAGGTTTATCGTAGGTTTTGTTGTAGTGCATTGTTTTGAGTACCTACTATGTCAATCGTATTCCTTTTTTTAACTATATTATAAGGGTACTTGGGGATTATCAATATCCGCCTTTAAAGATCGATGCAGATGTTTACATTCAGTCATTTACTAAATATTTCCTTCATTCTTCCGGTGGGGATGATGCAAAAAAGGTATGCGCTATATACCTTTAATGCCAACCCAAATTCACATTAACACTAACACATGGGCCTCGTGGCGCAACGGTAGCGCGTTCGACTCCAGATCGAAAGGTTATCCGTTCAAATCGGGTCGGGGTCATATTTTTACCATTTTTCTATACGCATTCACGTATTCTGGATCAGGGTGATTAGCCTAATATTCTTTCTTTTTGCTTCAATGTAGTTTGGTTTTGAGAAGGATATAGGAGATACAAGATACATGAGATACAAAAATTGTCGACCCCGCTTCCGTTTCTATTGCCAAGCGAAAATTTCTACTCAGACAGTGCGATTTTAATAAACCCCCTTTCCCCTATTTTCGGCATTGCTACGCTTCCACACGTTCGCCTCTAATATTTGAAGGAGATACTGAAAAATATGATACAAGGAAGCGTAGAGAAATACTACAAAACTTGTTGATCCAAAAATGAGCATCGGGATGAAGGAAAGTGTAAAGTGGCCGAAAAACATCTGCCTCCTAGCTACCGTATCCCACAACTCATTATTCATGATGTCGAGCGCGCCGTCCCATTTCCATGGCCCGATAAGCCTGAACTTCGTGTTGAAGTTCGCGCTGAGTGCCCACGTAAGGGGCAGCTTATACCAGCCGCCATTACTACTGGAGAAGCCAAGGCGCAGGACGTCCCCGAACGACGGTGCAGAACCCATGTCTAATGCAAGTTGGTATGCATAACTCTCATGGTCAACACCGTGGCGGATCCGTGCATGGTCCTTGCGCACGAGCTGATAGTGCGGCTCGTCGCTAGGGAGTAGCGAACTCGCGACTCGTCCCGGCGCAAGCAGGTTGAGCACCCACAGCTGGGCCTGGAACTCGGCGAGTGGTGGGATTGCGCCTAGGTTGGGCCTCACGAAGCCGATGAAACCTAAAGAAGGGTCTTCCCGAGGCCATATCTGCCGGACTAGTTTACCTTCATAATATCTCGGATCGCGTCTATGGTCTCCTAAAAAGGGGTATTGATGTGTGTAGCCCGTACAGAAAATGACTATATCCGGCTTGATGTTCTCATCCTTCATGTATGCGTACTCTGGCCGTCCGTTGTCCCTGAATACGACGGTACCTGTCTCGTCGATCCGCTCTGGCCAAGGGGCCAAGTCAACTTGCCGGCCATTACAGGTTTCTTCCGTCTTTGGCGTTCGGACTATTAACGAGCGGATGCGCTCCGAGATTCCCTTTGGTGCCTTGGGTTTCCAGACGGCATTGAAGTAAGGGCTAACTTTGTAACCCGATTTATTGAAGAAGACTTTGCATATATCAGTACCAGTCTATGAGTCTACCCATAAGTGTGGCTGGCAGCAGTAGAAAGAAGACCTACTCTCTGAAGTTGTCCATCCCTTAGGCTTCCCCCCTATCCATTGATCTATCCCGTCTGTGGTACCCCACGAAGTCCAGAGAATAGATCTGACATAGCAGTCGTAATACTTCCATAGAGCATTACTATTCCTAAGCCAGGGATGCACGTATGCCGTATCAAAAAGGCTCGCCCGGGAGACATCGATCGGTACTTGAGGGCGATCTAGGGGACTTCGCCGCCTGGAGAATATTAATCTAGGATTTGGGTTTCTCTAAACCGTTGATGAGCTTTAGCTGCGCTGTCTTCATATGCCTTTATTATGATTGTCCTACCTTTGGCGCGAAGTGGAAACCGTCCCTATGACACATCACCACCCGCTTCGTTGGTGAAGTAACGGCAAGGAATGCGATGTCCGCCCCAGTCTCGCCGCTACCCAGTATGAGCACAGTCTTCCCAATACCAAACTGATCTTTCCTCTTTAGCTGTGACGAGTGAAAAACTACCGGTACTCTCTCGACGCCTTCGATTTCGGGGATGCTAGGCTCAACATGAAGTCCAGAACATACGGCCACTGCGTCGCATTCCCAACTATACTGCTGTCCTCTTAGCAAGTATGTCACAACGTGGCCGCCTTCTTTCCGACCCCTTACACTTTTCACCGGACACGAGAGGGTAATGTGTGGCCATAAGTTGAAGTGTGTACAATAATCATTGAGATACTCGATATAACGTTTCGCACTGACGAAATCCGGTTCGTCGTCCTTACATCGAAAGTCAGAGAAACTAGTGAGTTGTCTCGAGGATACTAACTAAAAAGCCAAGCGTCAGTAAATTGTAGCGAATTAGCCACTCAACCCCAACTCAGGATAAACGAGAAAACGACCCGCCCCTACTTCAGCATCCTCATAAGTCCTTGCTAAAAACGTGCCTCCCACTCCCGATTCGCTCTCAAAAAGGCGAGCTTCGACGGGTTCTACTCCTAGAGCGCTCTCTGCAGCTAAAAGATACTTCAGCGTCACGAGTCCAGCAGGACCTGCGCCTATTATCGCGACCCGCATGCCTTCTGTCGTCTGCGGATGCGTGGTGCAAGATCCGATATAGTGGTAGATCCTGTGGCTTATACGGATGCAGTCCTACAACGTGTAAATCTGTCCATCTCCTCAACACAAGCAAAGAAAAGGGCAGCAGGCTCTCTCTCACTTAAAGGCGAGTAGGCTAACCTTTCGTATTACATCCTCGGCATCTAGCCGGCGACTTTAACTCCCTAGCTTCCCGAAGTCCTACGTCTCTAGAAGATCGCGAGAACTTTCCATTCGTCCTATATTCGATTTATATTTCCCCATATCGTCAACTTGAGCAACAGTCCCATCGCCTATCCCATCACGAGGCGTGCAGACACTGTGCTCCCTTGATAGGAGTCCTTCGTTCCGAGAGTGGGTAGGCGAGACACGGGCGAGGCGTCGGCGAATCATAACCCCCATGGTCGCCGTTCCGCCAAGGAATGAGGCGTCTCTCGTCGTACACTAAGATCTGGAATTGGTCGTGTTCGGGCTGGACGTCGTCTTGCATGAACATGTCTCACACCCGGGGTTTTCTAGCAGCATGTCTTGCTTTGAAATGTGGACCCTATCGATCCTCTCTCCTCTCTCATACCCTGCCTGCCACCACCGAGATGATACCCATCTTTTTGACGGCTGATATCCAAAACTCCGGCTTCGGTGAGTAGGACTCGGTGTTCTGAATACCCCCAGGGCATTCTAGAGCGTAGCCGTTTCTAAACGGGCTTTATAAGAGGTAAGCAGACTTTCTCTTACGTATCCTTCTTGTTTCTTACAAAGCCTTATGTGAGACAGACGTGGATGTCGTTGTTTCTCAAAGATATTCGTGTGGCTGCAGCCACCGACCCATGGAGGTGGCCATTGGACGACAACGTTGCATAAAAGTTGCAAAATAACTGGAGCAAACGAATAAGCTAACAAAACATCACGAGCACAAAGAATAGTAGTGGAATATACCCGGAAATCCCCATAGAGAGTTCGATCGTGAATGGGCAAGTATACGACCATCCACCGAACCCTTCACGGAATCGAGGTGGTTCTTAGAGCAGCGAAAGGATGTACAACAAATAGACTATTACATGTTAGATACCCAGAGTAGGGGGTTGCGGAAACATGACCAGATGTATATCTACCTACGTACCTAACCTACCTGTGCTTTGAAAAGCGCCATAGTAGGTCTCGTATAAAATAGGAAGAAAACAAGTTTGTCGACCGCGCCTACATCAGCCTTGGTCGAGGGCAAGACTTCTCGGTGGTGATACCTGATTAGTCTAGCAAGCCATCAAGTGATTCAGATGTTGATCGTCGCTATACGGACGACGATAAACCCCCCCAGCATTTAACTCTCTCTTCTAATATCGTATGACACGATTCTTCCGTCTCACAGGCCGGGTCATAGACCTGGGGTAATCTCCTCCCGACCCGAAGTGTTTCGGCTCCAGGCATATATATTCATTCACAATCCTTTGAGCATTGACTACGGCGGAAAGCAGAGTGCGCTTCCCGACCTTCGCACTCGCTACTATCTATAGGTATTAATTCATTGTAAGCAAATTCCGAAATCTAGGAACGCAGGGTACTAATCGTATAACTACTATAGAATGCTTCTGTACTTGTTGGAGCTCTGTCCAAGTTTCCTCTAGTTAACAATATTGCGGCCAGCGCTGTATTTGCATCATACGCATGTCTGCTTATCATTTACCTAGGGTCTCGTAACCGTCTAATCTTATAGGTTCTTAAACGAGGAATATACTATGATATTTATCTGATGCCGATGGAGGTTTATTCATTATATTATTCTATTTTAATCGATACACAACAGGTTGACAAGAGTCACTCGAGGTTTAAATGCTAACATCGATCCTGATAATTTAAAAAAAAAAGGGGGGGGGGGGGGGGGGGGGGGAAAAAAACAGGAGAAAGGGCCCAAGAATTATTAGACCACTTATTAAAAAAAAAAAAGAGTTGGGTGAGGGATTTATTTGTTGTAACCCCACCCTT